CACGAGGGTGTTTTCAGGATGTTCCCGCACCGCCTCCGCGTCCCTCGAGAGGCGACGGGGCCGACGGCACGTGGGGGCTTCCTGAGTAACGTGCACTCGGCACGCTCCCAACCTGTGCGTCTCGCTGTGTCTGTGCGATCGCTTCTGCGGGCTGCCAGCAGCGTATTTTTAATGAAGCTGCCCGAAAATAAGAAAGTGATCCCAGGTGACAAGCAGCGTTGTCTGTGAAAACAGTTTCAGGGACGCGTCTGTGTGCGTGTGTGACTGGGAATGGGCCGTGACTGCTCACGGGCGTGGGGTTTCTTTTTGGGGTGACGAAAATTTTCTAAATCGATGCGGTGATGGCGTACGACTCTGACCACACTAAAGCCGCGGAATTGCACACTTCACGCTGGTAGACGCGTGCGATGGCTCATGTGAACAAGTGTAAAGTTACTTCCCCAGAAAGCGCCCCCCAAGCCCTGGTTAAAAAGCAGACGCTGGGAGACGGCTGTGAAGACAAAACGCACGGCCCGGCCGGTCTCCGAGCGGGATCCGCCCCCCAGACCCTCGCCAGGCTGTTTCGCGGTGCTGCTTAATAACAAAGTTCCGGAACTATCTGATGGTCCATCTGTCGGGATCTGTTAAACCAACGACGGTCTGTCCGTCCACACGACACCCTGCCACGCGGCCATTGGAACAGAACAGGCCAGATCGGGAGTGGAGACACCGAAGGGGCTCGGAGCAGCGCCTGTCCGTGCGAGCGGCCGGGGCAGGGTGGCCGCGATCTGCTCAGCAGGGAAGGCCAGGCACACGACGCGGGAGTGACATGGCCCGCTGCTGTGAAAGCTGAACGCTGCGTGCACACCTGCACGCACGGGCGCACGCGCATCCAGACTTCCTGCGCCCTGAACTCTGGTGACCCCTCACAGGCAAGCGGGCGAGGACCCGGCAAACACTTCGCACATCACGCTTCTCGTTATCTGTGCCGTTATCGTACGTAGGTAAACGTCGATTACCCAACAAACGAACAAGCGCCCACACACAGAACCAGGAAAGCGGGAGCAGCTAGGGCGTCCTGAGGCGTGAGGCGCCCACGGCCGTCACACGCCATCCGACGGCATGGCGCTCTGCGTGACTGAAGTCCACAGGGCTGGCACGGGCACAGCAAGGAGGGGGTACGATTATGACCAGCACAGAAGCTGCTTGAGTATTTTAACACTTTACCACGGTTTAGGAAGTTTGAAAGAAAATAAGCTTCAGTTATTGGAACAATCACTTCCTATGTAATACGCGATTCCCGAACGCACAGGTCAGTGAGGTGGGAG